GTGTGCACACCCGGGTGTTGGATCCAGGTGTGCACACATCATTTTCCATTATACATATCTTGAAAGTATTAAATAACTTTATTAATTTTTTTTGGTGAATCTAATAGCTTGATTATAAGCTTTGCCAAACATGCCCTTTCCGTATGTTACCAGCCAATTGCTTTTCACCATTTGCCTTCTCTAAATTGAAAAACGCTTTTCATTACAAAAACATTTTTTTCTTCCATTTCACACATTCGAGTTCCCAGTTTCAGTTCATTGTCTTCTTCTCTTTATTGTCCATTTGGGCCATATTTTCTTCGTAAGCAACGATAATTAAGCTTCATAGTAACAATAACTTGTTGGTTAGGATAAAAAGACGTTAATACCACTTAATATATATTTTGAATTTCAATCTTGTGAATGAAAAAATAAGTATTGAAAGAATTTCTTTTTATAAATTTGATGTAACTTGACTCTGCATTAATTAAGGTCTAATATGACTTTTTTGATGTAACTTGACTTTGCATTAATTAAGGTCTAATATGACTTTTAGATATAGATGTTAGTACAAAAAATAAAAAACCATAATTAAGCTTCATATTGCTCCTTATGAATTAATGGCTCGACCCCCTTTCCTTTCTTCTTAGTTCTTACTATTCCTATAATTTTAAAAAAAGGATTGACTTTATTTCACCACACTTCCTCTCACTCTGAACTTGCTGCTCCATTCATTCTTCATATATCGGTCCTAGCCTACCATTTCATTTCATTTAATTTCCTTTCGTCCCAACTTGTTCCTTCCATTGTCTTAATTTGCTGAACCCTTCTTTTCGTAGAAGAACAGCGAAGGAGTTGAGAAAAGAAGACAATGTTGTTTCCCACTGTTATTGAAACTGCCAAGAAGGTATGGGCCACATGGAACATCAGAGGATTCATTATTGTAAGCCTCTCGGTGCAGGTCTTCTTAATTATGTTAGCGCCATTTAGAAAATGGAGAAGTGGGAGACGGGGAAAATGTCTCGACATGTTGATCTGGTCCGTTTACTTGCTTGCCGATTGGGTTGCCACGTTTACAATCGGATTGATCCTAAGCAAGCAAATCAAAACCAAGTCTGAAAGTAGTGACATCTACGTTTTCTGGGCACCCTTTCTCCTGTTGCACCTTGGTGGTCCTGACACCATTACTTCTTTTGCTCTGGAAGATAATGAATTTTGGGTTAGGCACTTGCTTGGTCTTGGATTTCAAGTTGGTTCTACTGCCTATGTCTTCGTTAAGTCCCTTCCAGAGAACAAGCTTTGGCTCCCAACCCTACTAGTGTCAATGGCAGGAATAATCAAATATGCAGAAAGGAACCATGCCTTTTATCTTGCAAGCTTTGACCATCTTGGAGATGATTGGTTGCCTAGTGAATGGGGAGATGAAATTCCGGTCCCAGCAGAATTCCAAAAGATGGACAGCCCAGAAATTTTTGAGCAAAGTCAGCAGGAGATGCCATTATGGACTGCAGTTCACCTCTTTGGAACAATCAAGATGATGATTGTAGGCCCTCTTTTATCTCCAGATCAAAATTTTGAGATCAGAGAAACCTTTCTCCAAGTGAGAGATTCATCTCAAGTGCTGCAAATAATGGAAATTGAGCTAAGCCTCTTGTATGAGGTTCTTCACACCAAGTTGCCTGTGGTTGGTTGCTTGGTGGGATACATTTTCAGGCTCGTTACTATGAGTTGCATCCTGGGAGCCTTCTTGTTATTCTCATTATTTAAGAAGTATTATAAGTTGGAGCAGTTTGATATGTGGCTAACCTACAGTTTGCTAATCGGGGCCTTTGTGTTGGATATCATATCTATTGTATTACTCATTTCTTCAGACTGGATTTTGGCTGCTCACATCCGGAGTAAGGATTCGAGATTCTTCGAGAAGCGTAGGTGGTCTAGAGCAGTTTCCCAATTGAATTTTATTACTTGTTTTGTAAAGGATAATCGAAGTCTGTTGAAAGAAGTTGCTGATTTTTTTCGCATAAGGCGTTTGTTGGAAGTCATAAAAGAAATCCGATGTCTATCTTCTAAAGATCTCGAAGTACGCTCAGAATGGCCTTTCATTTTTGAGGAAGTGAAAGAATTGAATGAGTTTTTGAATCGTAAAATGGCAGCCTCGTCTCAGACTGTACTAGACGCCAAGCAAGTTTGGTTATATAGTCTTGAACGAGTTCTTGCAGGCTTTACCAATTCTAATGAGCTCATCAAGATCGTCAAGGAGTTGAATTACACGAAAAGTGTACTAACGTGGCATATAGCCACTGAATTATGTTTCCAAAGAGTAGACCAACCATCTACATCAGGGGAATTTTGCAAGATGCTCTCAGATTACATGTTTTACCTATTAGTAATGCAGCCAGCTACCATGGCGGCTGTTTCAGTGAGTTGGAAAAAGGTGTTTGAAGAAACATTGGCAGAGACCATGTTATTAGTAAGGAGTTCAATCTCAAACGAAAGGGAGGTTAGCAGTAAAATCCTTAACCTGATTCCAAATTTCAGAAATCCAGAAAGGGATATAAATAGATCGGTGTTATTTGCTGCATCTGCGCTTGCCCAACAGCTGATGGAGCCACCTGACGGTATTCCGTGGGAGAAAATGAGCAAAGTATGGGTACATTTAATGTGTTTTGCAGCTATGAATTGCAGGCCACACGTCCATGCACAGCAACCTAGTAAGGGCGGCGAACTTCTCACATTCGTTTGGTTGCTCATGAATCATTTGGGTATCGGGACTCACTTTTCAAGCCATTAGTGATGCTAGATAGTGAATTTGATGAAACCTGCTTTCAGATAATTATATATACTTTGATTCCTTCGTGTATTTTCTTTGTTATGTTTCTTTGTATGACTACTTGTTGCTAATAAGTGATGATGGTCTTATGTGATCAGTATATTTTGTACTAACTAAAGTTGAAGTTCAACAGAACTCCAGTTGTTTTTATTTCGGCAAACGGCATCACATCTTTGCCCCATGAGGCTGGCTGCAAGGTACTAGTTTCCAGCAGTAATTAATAGTTCAGTACCAGATCAATAACTTAATTTCTTTTATTGTTTAATTTACAATTATAAGTTTATAATATCATATAATATTATAAGTATTTAATTTTTCATTTTGTCCTGCACATCCCCGATTTTTTTCTCCTCCAAGAGCATTTGTTGAAATATGGAAATTGAACACAGAAATCGAAGGAAATGTGATGAAATGAAGAACAGAAAATGATGGAAATAGTTTGAGAAATCTGAAACTCAGCTCTGAAAATAGTTTCCCATCCAGCATCTACACAAAAATACAGTGATGGAATTCTACTAACTCTCCTCTCCTAATATATCATATTTTGACAAAATAGTTCATCTAACATGTACAATACCTTCTAAATATTAACTAAAAATTCCATTACATCAAACAGTTTTGTTAGAAAGGAAAATGATCTATAGATTCTATACACACGGCGTGTGTCACACACTCACACACACTATGATATTCAAGGCCAAAAGTTTATAAAAATTGGAAATAAGTCCAAAAGATTTTAAAAGTCCTAAATGACTATAGATTATTCTAAAAAAAAAAACATTGAGTTTTTTTTTTTTTTTTTGATTTAGCAATTAGGGTGTCACCAAGGCAATTTGCATGTGTCTTGAGACTAATTCTTTTTTGGTCTAATCAAAGGTAGGTAATTTACATTGAAAATATAGAAAATTAATGAGAAATTACCTCTTAAAATCTCTAAAGATGTATATCTAAAACATTGAGTTAGTTTTATATGCACTACTTCACCTATTAATGTAGATGATTAAGTGTAGGTGTAGGAGGAGGGTAGAAGAAGGTAAGGGCTTTTTGAAACTTATGTATATTATAATAGTTTTTCATATTTTAGTTAAGATAATGGTCTTAATGCAATTTTAGAAAAGAGTTAAGATTTACTTACATATAAATCTTACACACTATATTGATATAAAATTTTGACAATTCATCTCTTTATTTTCAATTGTGTAAATTTATTTACTTTTTATCATATTTATTAAAGATAATTATCTTTTTTATTTAAAAAGTAATGATAAATTTCAACTATAAAAAGTAAAAAAATAAATAATTAAGATTTCGTATACGTGCAATGTGCAAAACTTGTATGTAAATTAATTCTTAATCCTCATAAAAATAGATCTAAAAAATGATATGTATACATCATTAAATTCCATATCATTACTGTAGTTATATAAATAATCTTTTAAGAAAAATTGATCCACATAAGTGTGTTTTCAAATATAATTATTTTAAGCACATTGACTAATTATATATTTTCTAATTCAACACATTACATAATATATTCAACAAAAAAATATTATCATTTTATATGAAATTTAAGACAAACAAATTTGAAAATGCAACTATAAATACGACATATAAGAGTTGGTTAAATCAGTTATATTTATATTATATTTTAATAATTAATTGAATGATTATTAAAAAGTATGTTAAATTAAAAAGTATATTAATTATTTTCTTTATTTTAATAAAAAAAACTTAATTGCATAACAGAATAAATTGAAAAAACGCCAATGTTCTTCGATTTTCTGTTAATATATATCTGGTACATGGAAAGGCTTTGCCAAAAATTAAGGGCTTCTGAAATATTAGGACACAGAAAATAAATTATTCAAGTTTCCTTCTGTCATCTTTTCTCTCTGTCGCTTTTCTTCTTTGGATTTTTCTCTTCTCATTATTTGGAATATTTAATGTTCATTTTTGGTAAAAATATCTAATGTTCTTTGCTTCAGAAAAAACAAAAGAAACTAATGTTCTTAACTTTAAATTCTTCTAGGGAAAGGTGCTGGCTGAAATTAATGGGTCCCAACAAATAAAGAGAGAGAAAACAAAATTATTGCAGCATTCCTTTTTTAACTTTTTCTCTTTTTCGCTTTTCTTCCTTTGACGTTTGTCTTGTCATCATTTGGAATAGCTGCTTGTTCTCTGTTTTTCTTCTAACTAGTCGGCTTTGATCCCCTTGATGAGCTGGTATCTTGTTTTTATTAAGTTATATTCAATAGCATATAAAATATTTATATTAACTATTTAAATAAAATTAATAATTGATAGTTTATATTTGATGGTTAATTGTTATCAAAGTTTATAATTTTAAATTTTCATTCCATTTGATTATAATAAATAATTAAAAATTAATTTTAAATTGATAAGTTAAACAATTTTAATAAATATATGTTAATAGACTTGGTATTTAAAGAATAATTTAATAAATTGATAAGGTATCATCTCACTTGATAACATGTTTTGATTATTAATTGAAATTTGTTTAATTAAAATAATTTTAATTTAATTTAAATGAATAATATTATGAATATAGAAGCAAACCATTCTTAAGTATGTAAATATGTAGAAAAAAATATTAAATACAGAAGTTATAAACTCATAGGAGAAAAATAAATAGCATTGTAAGTTATAGTTAATTTTCTTTTTGGTCCATCATTACCAAGTTGCAAATCTCGACTATTATTGAAAACTTTGTTGTTTTGCACGTTGAACTTAAATACTTGACACATATACAATCATATAAAATTACACAAAAAAACAAAGAAGCCATATTTGAGTTCAAGAAGCTATCATAATTGAAAACCATGTGCCAAAAGGAAGAAAGGCCTATTTGATAGAAAATTGTCACAACTTCTTGTATGCTCTTTTAATTTGCTTCCCAGCTTTGACAAAATGGAGTACAAATTAAGAAGAACAAACTATGATTTCGACACCGACCTTGAGTGAAGATTAAGCGAAGGAGCTTATATTTGTGTCGTTGTGAATGATAGAAAGTACTTTTGTTTCGGCTCACAACTATAAAAAAAAATAATTAACATACCTTTTAATTTAACATATGTATTCTAACACCTACAATTCAATTATTAAATTTTACAATTAAAATTTTCTCACCTTAAATTTAAATTTAAAAATAAAAATTTCTTAATAAATATTAATAAATATGTTATGAAATTTATTGAATCAAAAAAATATATCAATCATTGTTTATTTTGATAAAGTAAATTACAAAGTACAATAACTCATTCTTTTAGTAGATTAATGAACATATGACATTGTTTACCAGAAAAATAAATAAATTATAGTTGTAATCCCAGTAATTTAATTTTAATAATAAAAAAAAAACCTGCCTCTAAATATTACACTAATTTGGTGGACTCCTTAATTCTTTGAGATTTAATGAAATAAATGATACCTCTTTCATTCTCAAAGCAAATGCACAAAAAATTTAGATTAATGAAAATAGGGCAAGGAAATTAATTCGACGTGTCTGAATTGCCAACTCTAGTGCCAAAAAAAAAAAAATTGCAAATTTGCCATTGTTGGATATCCCATGACAACCAGAACTCAGGTTTGGAGACAAAAAAAAAAAAAAAAAAAAAAGGGTAAGATCAACTATCCAACCATAATAGATATCTATTAAAAATACAAAAGCTTACTTGTAAGGTTCACCTCACATGAGATCAAAACATTTTCTTTTACTAATTGTAACTAAATGAAGACAAAGATTGCTTTTTGACATTTTGCCAAGTGCCTTTACCCAGCTATTTAAGTTCTGGTGAGCACTATCAACTGGTTTCCTTTCGGAAATAAGCTACAGGAAAAAAAAAAAACTCCAAGTGCAAAGACCTCAATCTTCTCATCCACAATTCCATGCATAAAGTACTCGAGTGCTAAGTTCCCACATGGAATGTAGAAGAAAACTTCTTTCAATCAAATAACATTTGCACGTGTTGGATTGACAAAATGGGAAAAAGAGACAGTTGTGAGATTTTTCTACCAAAAAAAAAAAAAAAAGAAAGTTGTGAGATTTAGTACCCAAATGTCCCTGCAGTTGGGGTGATAGAGTGGTATGTCCATTTAGGAGGAAGGCATTTTGCTAGTCCAAAATCTGATATCTTCAACCCAAATTTGAGATAAAAAGCCACAATCAGGCTCAAAATACTTGAATGCAATAATTGATATAAGAGTGATTAAGGAAAGGAAAGAATATAAATTTGAATTCATAATGACATATTCTAGAATATAATATTGACTCATTTCAACACATCATATTTTAACTTCTTTTTTTACATTTTATAAGAAACTAATCAAAATAAGATTTGAGCTTTGAAGAGGAAAAAAAAAAAAAAGAAGGAAATATAAGCAAACACTTATTCCAAAGGGAAAAAAGAACTCCAAAATGAAATGTGATAACATAAGCTATTAACTGCTAGGGAATGATTGGCAATCGTTCATCATCCATAATATCATCTCAGAATGTGAGACAAAATAGAGGAAAAAATTTAACAGGGACATAATACTTCTTCCGGTTCATTTTTAGGAAGAATTAGTTCACCAAGTCCACATCTAGAACAACTGCAGAAGGCAAACATAAGACACAGCTAAAGAATTTTATGTATGGAGAAAAAAAAGAGAAATATTAATAAAAATTTCATAAGACTATAAGAATTTCATAACAATTTCATAAAAGAATCTTTCTTACGCAGTTTTTCAGGAGAAAGTATAATTCATAGAAAAATCTGATCCGTGTAACTAATATAAATGACAGAAATGAAGATGATAAATTAGTAGTCACCATGGAGTTATAACAAAGCTTGTGATGCTGCCATTCTCCAACTTATACTGTTTTCCACATGCCAACATCTGTCATAATGCATTTCACCATTATCAATAAAAGCAGTAAATAACAGATTTTGAAGGTAATTTAATAACTATTCAAAAACTATAATATAAGAACAATGAATACACCTTAAGATCTCCAAACCATTCCCCACCTTCTCCTCAAACCCATCACCTTCCCTGTAAAATAA